ATACCAAATTAAGATCAAAGAGGCATTGCATATTAAGTGGGAAAAACCTATCCTTAATCAGCAATTGAAACATCTAGAATTGTCTCTTTCCTTTTAATGATGTTGTTCCTTGGTCTTTTAATTCATTTTTATTATTATTACATTTATTTATTTATTTTTTATTTATCTATTTATTTTTTGATCTAGTCAAGCGCGCGCTATTTACATCTTTTGCGTTTTTAACATTCAAATGTAACGTAAGCACTGACACGTAGTTTGTAACGTACCCTAATTTAAATTCAAATGTACAACAGTTAAATGCTCATTTGCAACTGAAGATGACATGAGAATGTCGAAACATGTCTTGTAAATTTAAACTCAAAGTTGTTGTTTCTTTTTTGAGAGTTATTGTCACTCTGCTGTCTTTACGTACTTCTATAAAACAAATAAATTCAGGTTGCGGCTTGACGTTCCTGGGTTTATTGCGCTTGCAAACTATCGAAACACGATCTCAGGAATTGAAGAATAGTATTCCTTCTTTCTTAACAGGTGTAGGTGCAACGCTGCAGTAAAGTTCATTTCGTTTCATATGCAAGGCAGTACCCCTATATTGCATATGATTGATTTCGATGCATGTTTAAAAAACAGAAGATTCAAGTTTCATTTAGCTCCTTATGAGAAATATGCATTTGGAAAATCGTTAACAGCATATTACAAAAATTTGCATGGTAAATCAATTAATCAAAGGAGAAAAAGTTCATGGAACGTCAAGAGGTTCCAAGGTTTGTTTCAGGGAAGAAACATCTTGATAGAGGAGGTTCCTTTTCCTTTCCATTGTCCCGCTGAGGTAGGTAATTTTGAGATATTTTTCCAGACGTTTGGTATCATGCAAAATGTCAATTGGTTTACAATTTTAGTTTCTTACCGCCATTGTCAAAATAAGCAACCCTATCATAAAGATAGGGTTACTATATTACTTAGCTGGTTAGAGTCTTAGTTATTAGTTTTATTCTATGTAAGGACCTTTCTGTCGATCATATTCCTTATTTCTGCTCACAACGTTCAAGAAACGAAAAGTATGTTAGCTGAGTGTTTAATGAGTCCGCAAGAGTACAGAAATACAACCACGTGTAAACAACTATATATTTTACCAAGGGCGATCGAAGCATAATTCACAATTCACCCGCCTGATAAGAAAACCGGAAGACCAAGAGAGAAATTTGGGAACGTATTCCTTAACCAAATGCATGTGCAGTAACCTTCTGAGATTAGAGGTAAAGTACTGTTTTCCATTTTAAAATGAAACATGAACGCATGATTTAGATAAGACGTTAACGAGATGCGTAAATGCATGCTGAGCAAGAGTCCACCTGTTTGAATTAGAACTGAAGCTTCTAGAGCCGATATGCATAAATTAAAACTGCAAAATCTTGTATGCGCTGCAACAAAAGAGTAAATTTGCGCCATATCAGCTTGCATGTATTCATGCCAACGGAAATTTACTGCCACTTACAGCTTCAATCCTCCTAATGCAAACTCATTAATTTTGATGTTTGTTTCTCAATAAAAAAAATGTTGATATTATTATTATTATTATTATTATTATTATATTATTATTATTAATATTATAAATATCATTATTAATATTATCATCATTATGATTACTATTATTTTTAGCATTATTATTATTTTTAACTTACCACTTTTTCCACCCCAAGATAATCAAACCCCGTTTGGCTTTGCATCCTATGTGGCTCGAAGGTCTTTTCAGAATTGCTGAGTTCGCAGGTGGGCATCTGATGAATCGAGTCCTTTCCAAAGTTAAATGAAAGGCAGCTTTGTGGATAACGACGTAGACACGTGAGAGCACAGTCCATTTCCTCTTCATGGTCTTGATTAAGCTGATCTTGCCCACGAGGGATGCGCTTCGTATTCTGTAAAATGCCACTTCTTTGTGGTTTTGGTTGTCAGCAAGGCTTTCGGTGGTAAATATAAATTTTAGCGGTGTGAAAAGAACCAACACAGATATCTTGGCTCTAAAGTCTAAGTTGTATCCAAGGCGAGCCATATTTAACGATATGAACCCTTTAAATAAGAGAATAAATTGTTAAAATGGTGAATGCGGGGCTGTTGAACTATCGGCCATTTATCACCCTTCACTGAAACAAAAGAAAGTTAATGAACACAACAGTAAGGGAAAAAATAGAGATAATAATAAATAAAGAACGTAACAAGGGACGTTTGTGATCACCAACTTTTTTCTTCAGTCTATAAGACAGCCTATGTAAAAATGGAACAGGGGATGTTGGTCATAAAAAAATCTACGTGTCTACTCTCTGTAAATAGAAGTCTGGGAACTGATATATTTCCTTAGGACGTCACCTTTTATTGAATGTCGATTTTCTCGTTCGAGCACATTTATTTCCCCCTTAAGTTTATCATACTTAGCGAAAATGGAATGAACCTTTTAATGTCAGCGCAAATTATCTGAGCTGTAAATTAAGCCGCGATCACTACCCGTGCCCTGGTTAATGCAACACCGTTATTGTTCAAATTAGACAACCGATAAATCAGATAGAGGTTCGCAGGTTCATGTGACATATTTTTTGCTGTAGTGTTCTGGCAACAAGCCTGAATTTTCACTCACACGAAAATGTCTCAACATGGCTATCCTGAGTTTAAATTTGAAATCAGAATGTTTATACTTGATCTCAGTCATTCTGTCGCTGCAGTAAACACGTATTCCAAAGTCATTTGAAAAATCATAAATGTAAGTGATTTAGGCAGTTCACCGGAGCCAGAAATCAACTCATACTCATCTTAAGGCGTTGAAACAGGGTGAAAACTAGCATTCTCACAGCCTCCAGTTTAACATCTGGTTAACTGAGAAAAAAGTGGAAGTTCGTCTTTGAATAATTAACGAATAATAAATAGAAATGTGATATCGTCTTGGCTTTGTTATGAGTAACTGCGTAGTATTGTGAAAAATATCGGTTATGGAGTTTTTCGAATTCTTTGAAAGCCACCTTCGGCCTTTGAAATACGGATAATTAAATTCTACGTATAGGGAAAATTTCAATCCATTTCCACAACGAGGTAGCCAGTGTCATTATATTTCCAGAGTGTGTTATCATCAATCGGTTGTCATAGTTTATAAAATAAATTGATAGTAGGGCATCCAATGCACCATATACAAAACTTCATGGGTAATTAAAAGTGAATCGCGTAAATAATGCGTTTGTGACGTTAAGGAATCTTTATAAGTTTAAAAGATGGTGATTGCGAGCGATCTTGGAAATGTAATTTTATATAACATTTAGGGTATACTGTAATAAAGAACGTCTACTCATATATAACGCATGTGAAGTTACTTTTATTAAATCTTAATTTTATTTTTTAGCACGAGCGCTATAGAAAATAATGATGATAAAAAAGCAGAATTTTCAACTGCAAGAATGACATCAAAAACTTATCAGTCGAAAATGGAATGGAAGAATCAAGCAAAGACTGAAAAAGTCTTTCTTTCGCCAGGTTTTTGGTTTGGTTTGGGTTGCTTTGATTTTTTAACTTAATTCTAAATTCTTAGTCTGTAGTTTATCTCCCTCTCTCTCTCTCTCTCTCTCTCTCTCTCTCTCTCTCTCTCTCTCTCTCTCTCTTTCACACACACACACACAATAATAGTAATAAAAATTTTATTAATTTCTATTGCGCAACACTCAGTGTCTTAAAATAATAGAGAAGAATTTGCTACCTTTCTATAACATCAAGAAATGGTTAGATATTCTAGTCTTCTCGGATAGGGACGAATAAATGGAGGTCACGTCTCCTGCAGGGTTGGGGTAGGAGACGTTAATTTCCCACACACGAGATTACTGTGTGATGGATGTCCTCCCCTGGGGTGGGATGGGTGGGAGGGTGGACTAGCACGTATAGCTTGTACGTTCTTTTCTAGCCCCTCCCCACTGCAAACTAATGCAGTGAAAATGGAGTAAATTAAATTAACACTCCATTTTCAGTTTAATAATCTGTACTGTAAGCAGTTTAATAATCTGTGTTGAAGAAAGACCGAGAGAATCTGCTTGCGATGAGTACGACGTTTAAAGTTGTACAGAAAGAAAGCAGCAGAGTAAACCAAACTTTACGTGTAAGTTGCGGAATGTAACACTTTTATTCGTCA